AATGTGTGACACAGTAACCCGAGTTGTCAGTGGCGCGCGTTGTTAGCATCAGAGCGCGGGCCGTTAATCCCTTTGAGCTTTGCCTTCAGAGTTTGGAATTTGTTCAAGAGGCCACTGAGTTTTTTATACGTCTTCATTGGTGGGGTAGGAAGTGATGAAATCAGAAGAAAAAGAGAGTCTTTTGATGAATTTAGCCTACTAGATTATTGTTTTGGAGAGTCATTGTCGTGAATATCTGTTCTGCTTGTCTACTTTCTCTTCGATATTACTGTTATTGTTTTGCGAAAGAAGGGCCACGATAAACGATCGTCTCGCAGCTTGCTCATATCAAGTTATAGGTTGATCGGGCCTATACCTGATGTGTAGCGGATCTAGGAATACTTCTGTATGAAAGAGTATGTAAGTATATATGTTTATTATATGAGTATATGAGTAACTAACAAGAGAGGACATAAGGGGGGACAGAACGAGAGGGCAGGTGATGGCCTAGACAAAGGGTCGGGTTAGCCTGGGGGCTAAGCTGGCATCCGAGAGACGGCGACCTCGACTCCATGAGGCGGCTCCTTTTATACTGAGGTTTCTACCTCAGTATTATGAAATAGTGACGAGATGCGTCGGCGGAGCTGATGAAACATTGGTGTCTGCCTCGAGCTGACGCATGACTCAGCATAGCTGGGCCATGATCCGACACTCATAACTTTAGGGTAGCTAACAGAGGCAGAACATACAGCGTTCTTCACAACGGAACAATCCATATGACCCCAAATATATAACAAAAGTTACATTTTAACCAGTAAACACCACTACCTCACCGTTTAATTTGGGAACTGGGAATTTGCAAAAGCAAGTATTACAGAAAACACTTCTGCTCTAACAAATTCCTTCCGTCTTTCATTTTTCGTTCCATTTCTGTTGATAATCGTACTTACTGACAAAATTAAATCTGACTTGTTGCTTCTATCAATGAAGAATTTTGAAAGAAGGTGTCTAAAGCGATTCACCGCCCGCGATCTAATGCAAACAACGTGCCCCAGTGAGAACTCGGGTTACTGTGTCGCACATTCACGGGACGATATAGGCCCGTATGCACAACTCCCGGGGTAGGGGAAGGGAAGGAAATATGCATAACGCCCAGGGTAGGGAAGGGGAAGGAAATGTTTGCGAAGGGCGCGAACGTTCAAATGGTAGGTTTTGGGTCAAGATAGTGACAATGGAGCGATGTTTTTTCCTATAAACAGATGAGGAATCGACAGCCCTCGATAATCATATGATGTTTTGCCTCTGCGACCTTACCTTAGCGAGAGCTCAGAGAAGCCCGACCCCATTATTTCCCCACCCTGGGAGGGGGATGAATCTACCCCTAGAATAGAGCTGGGGCGCCGATGGTCATGTAGACCGCAACTCTGCTATTCACTACATTATTCGACTGAGCGCTTATTCCTCTGACTTCTGCTGCCGAATTCGTCAAGTATTGCTCCGATTTTATTCTACTGCTGCAACCAACTACCAATTTATTTAAATTGCTGACGTCGTTGCTGTAGAGCAGTTTAGTTTTCAAATATACAGGTTTTTCTTTCTAGACTTACACCAGTTATCGTGAGCCTATTGCATCACGATCCTGGTGTGATTTAAGAAGGAAACCGAAATTATTTGTCAGCAACTCGTAACTAGTTTTTCAGTTGATTGGTATAATATTTCATATCCTATGACATTTTAATCTTTGTACTCCCGAGTACTCCTGTCGTGGAAGGAGCATCCGTAGCATTAATTTATTTTATGGCTCAGTTTTGTTCTAAGCTCGCAATTTTGAACCTGAATTGAGTGCTGTCTGGTGTTGCTGTAGTAATCGTACACCTTCTACTCGCTTTGCTCTTAATTTTCTAGCAAACCCTGCCTAGGAAAAGGGTGTACGAAC